TTCCAATTGGGTGGTAAGGATTGGGACTAGGTTACAGCTCAAAGTGGTTTCTTGGTTTGAGGGTGGTGGTGAGAATGGTAGTTGATCTTGGGTAGAATTGATTAGATTGCTCATCCAATGTAGGAGAGGTGCAGTCCAAATGGACTTGAATGATACCCAATCTTGAGATGTATGATTAAAGAATGTGATCTCTGACTTCAGGTGTGCTTGAGGGGAAGGATTTTGAAGGTAGAAAGATGAGAAGCTTAGTTTAGTTTTAATATCAAAAAGAAGTATTAAAAATAAGAGATAACAAGGTGTAGAGCTGGATGAACACAGCAGGCCAAGCTGATGTTTCGGGTCTGGACTCTTCTTCAGAAAATGAAATTTTCAGAAGAAGGGTCCAGACCTGAAACATCAGCTTTCCTTCTCCTCTGATGCTACTTGGCCTGCTATGTTCATCCAGCGCTACACCTTGTTATCTCAGATTCTCCAGCATCGGCAGTTCCTACTATCTCTGAATCTATTCAAAATAAGAACTGCATTTTAAAAATATTACAAGCACTTACTAGTAGTTTCCAAATCAAAGTCTTTTACATCTTCCCTGTCATTGTAGCTGACCCAAAGAAGTTCTTAAGCACTAAAAGTGGCAACACAGGCATTACGATGTTTGCTCACTTGCCGTAATGTCTGCCAGGTGTCATATCAAGCACTGTGGGGTGGACAGGTATCATTCACAAGAACATGCCCCATTTATGTGGTGGGGACTGATGCACAGGCTTGAAATTTAATAAAGTTTGTGCTTAATTTGCAATACATCTCCTTGATGTTAGAAATGATCTTGGATTGGACGATGTAGAATCTTTGTGGTTGGAAGTAACAAATAACAAGGGGCTGGAGACATTGGTGAGAGTAGTGTATAGGCCCCTTAACAACAACTGGATTGATACAGAATAGATCAGAAAATAATGAGGGCATGTAAAAAAAGGTAATACATGAATCATGGGTGACTTCAATCTTCATATATTTCTGGAAAATCAATGGGCACAGGTAGCCATGAGGAAGAATTGATAGAGCATGTTTGGGATAACTTTCTAGTACAATGACTTTGGATGCAATCAGCGATCAGGCTATTTTAAATCTGGTAATGTGTAATGAAGCAGGTTTAATAAATGGTCTAATAATAACACTGTAGAATTTAGATTCAGTGAGAGAGTGAGAAATGTGGATCAGAAACAACTGTGCTAAATTTAAATAAAGACAATGACAATGGGCACGAATGCAGAGTTGGCTGGAGTGGACTGGAAAGGGGTTTAGCAGGAAAGATGGTTGATGAATAATGACTTTTTTTTAACTTCATGACTCAAAGCAAAGATATTTACCAGCAAGGAAGAATGATTTTAGGAACAGGATGAGCTAATCACAGATAACCAGAGAAGTTAAAGAAAATATCATAAGGAAAGAAAAAGTATACAATGCTGCAAAGATCAATGGTAATTTCAGAGGATTGGGAAAGTCTGATAGCCAAAAATAGATGACTATTGAATATAATAAAGGGGGGGGGGGAGTAAACCATGGGTACAAACCAGCAAGTATCATAAAAATAAACAGCTAGTAAGAGCTTCTTTAAAAATGAAAACAGAAGCAACAGTGAATATGGATGCTTTAGAGAATGAGGTTGTGGAAATAATAATGTGCATCCAGGAAATGGTGAAGGATATGAACAAATACTGTGTTAGTCTTCATGGTGAAAATTAGTAATAACAATATAATAATACTAAGTAATGAAGCTGCAGGGATAATGAAAGAAACATAATAACCATCACCAGAGAAAATGTACTGGGAAAATAATGGTGCTAAAGACTTATAAGTCCGCTGGACTTGGTGGGCATCCTAGGATTTTAAAGAAAGTAGCTACACAGATAGTGGATGCACTGGCAATAATCTTCCAGGATTGCTTACATTGTGGAAAAGACCCAGAGGATTGAAAAACTGCCAATGTAACATTTTTATTTGAAAAGGAAAGGAAAAAAAACAGGTAGTTGTAGGCCACTTCGCTTAACATCTGTTATTGGGAAAATGTTAATCTATTATAAAGAATATAATAGCAGAGCGGTCAGGAACACACAATAATAATCAGGCAAGGGAATTAATAAAGGAAAAATCACGCTTGACAATTTTATTGCAATTCTTTCCAGGAGGTAACAAGCAAAGTAAATAAAGGGGAACCAATATATGTAATATATTTGAATTTCCAAAAGACATTTGAACAATACTGCACATAAGGGTATTTAATGAACTAAGACTCCACGGTGTTAGAGGTAGTATATTTTCATGAATGGAGGATTGGCTAACTAATTTAAAACAGACAGTTGGGCTAAATGTGGCATTTTCAGGATGACAACCTGTAATTAGTATAATGCCACAGGGATTAGTGTTGGAGCCACAATTACTTACAATTGCATGACAGAAGTGAATGTACTATTGCTAAGTTTATGGATGACACAAAAATAGGTGGGAAGCCAAATAGTGAGGATGATACATGAACTTACAAAGGGCTAAAGACAGGTTTAGCCAGTGGGTAAAAAATTGGCAGTTTGATCAGATAAATGTGGGATTAGGCAACTACACAGGAAGAATACAAAGCCTGAATATTATTTAAATGGAGAAAGACTGTAGAAAGCTGCAGCACAGAGGGACTTCGGGGCACTCATGCATGAATCACAAAAGTTAGCATTTAAGTTCAGCAAGTAACAAGGAAAGCAAATTAACGTTGGCTTTTATATCAGAGGAATGGAGTACAAAAATAGGGAGATCTTGCTAAACTATACAAAGAACTGATTAGACTATAGCAAATATGATAGTGGGAACATATTCATTATTTTTCTTAGGACAAGTACAATAAAATAACTCTCTTTTAAAGAATGGAATAAACCCTTTCTTTTTATTTTATGATCACAGTGCATAAATAGACAAATACTCAATGAATTGCAAAGTTTATCCTATTCAAAAAAACCTCTTACAGTCAAATGTGGGTAGGAAAACAGGGTACCTATCTGACCCCTCCTTCCCTGATTATAATTTTTTGTTTTCCTTAAATGCATTTATATGAATTTCCGCAACAATTTACTACGGGAGCTATATTTACATTTTGACCATGCTTTAGGTAAAATCCTGAACTCTCTATTGGACTCATTAGAGATGATTTTATTTTTATGCTGTCTAATTTTGGACTCTCTCACAAATGTAAATATTGGTCTACATCTTCCAATACTAGAAAACACTGCTGTTGAGGATCAAAGAGATATTGAAAGTTCCCTTAAATGGCTCTGGTGAAGTCCTTGATGATAGTATCCCATGGCTTTGGAAACATCAAATGTGGAGAATTTAGATGAATATATGTAGAAGATGGAATATAATGTAGATAACACATGTATTCATTTTGGTGGGAGGAACAAAGCTACAGACCTGGTGAGAAATTACGAAGTGTTATGTCCAATGACCTTTATTCCATAAGTCACTGAAAGCTAAAATGTAGCTCTGATAAGCAATTAGAAACACAAGTAGTATACAGACATTTATCACAAGAGTATTTGAGTACAGGAATAAAGATGTCTTGTTGCAGTTGTACAGTCCCTTGGTTAGACTGCATCTGGAATATTGTGTACAGTTTAGAACCCTCTTATGTAAGGAAGGATATATTGGCATGGAGGGTTTGCAGCAATGGTTCATTAGATTATTACGTGAGTGGTAGAACTGCCCTTAGAGAAGTGATTGAGGAGATAGGCTTGTATTGACTAGAGTAAAGAAAAATGACAGATAAGCCCACTGAAACATATAAAATTCAATAAAGTTTGGGTGCAATAAGAATGTTTCCCTGGAATTTAGGTGGGGTGGAGTGAGAGGAAAAGGAGTTTACAACCAGGAGACACTATATCAGCATATAGGGCAGGCCTTTGCAATTGAGATGAGGAGGAAGTTCTTCACTAAGAATAGTAAATCTCTATTCCAAAAGAGGGCTGATGAAACTTTGACATTAAGCATACTGAAGACAGAGATTTTGATAGATTTCTAGGTACTAACAACATTCAGGTTATTGGGAAAGGTGATCAGCCATAATCTAGAATACTTTAGCTAGCTCAAAGGGCTAACTCGTACTCCTATCTTCCTTTATTCCAGTGATATTCATATCCATGGCACAGTAAAATGGGATAGCGTCGTCTTGCATACACCCTGATGTAGGAAGATGGAACTAATGGATGAAAATAACACTGAAATTTTAAATTTGTTTACATGCTCAAACTTAACTAATTCAAACTTATGATTGTAATGACACAAAAAAAGAAATGCTATCAATCTTCTATGAACAAAGAACTTTGAAAACCCTGAAGTATTTTAGGGATCTTCCTTCACTTGAATTTATCATAGATATCAAGGATCTATCAACGCAATATGGGAAGTCTTTTATTTCCATGTTTGGGATCTATTGGCTTCAGCACAAAATCCAAATTCTTAATTCTTTAATTGCAAATGGGAATTTTTGATTAATGTGAGTGAATTGCCAGATACAAATATTATACACTGAAGAGATCTTTAGGGATTGACAAAGTGTCTGCTTTGCTTGATTGCAGAAAATGAAAGAATTCTTCTTAAAACCCAGTTTTTGTACCCTTACAGTGTTATTAATTAAGCGATCTAAAGTACCACCATACCTGACATCACAATTATGTTACTCTACTTTCAATTCATTTTAATGGAAAGGAATATCCAAGAGTGGAAAACCTCAGCCATTCAGAACACGAATATGTTCTTTTGTAGACTTATAAGCTATAATCCATCAACCTTCGCATACTGTATCTTTGATGAATGTACCCAGCTGCAGTTACTTTTCTTTTATCTTTTATATTAATTTCCATTTGTGTTGATATCTCAATTTGCACAGAATCGGAATCAGATAGGTTTATACACTTTACAAAAAGAGTATAATGGACAAAAATGTCTTTCAAAAGACAATAATTTACCCACTCCGATGCCAGGCTTCACCCCCACTCCAACTCCAGGCTGCACCCCCACTCCAACTCCAGGCTTCATCCCCACTCCAACTCCAGGCTGCACCCCGACTCCAACTCCAGGCTGCACCCCGACTCCAACTCCAGGCTGCACCCCCAATCCAAGACCTAGTTTGAGATAATAAAGAATTAAAAATTAGAAGTCATTAAAACATTTTATAAACTTTAATGCAACCTTTGGATTTATTGGCCAATTAGTGACCAACAATGAAGTAATGTGAACACAGAATTCATTCTTTATTAATTCCAGACATTAATTTCAGTAATTAAGATGCAATGTTATTCTTTCTAATCATTATTTTCCATGTCTGATGGAGAAAATGCTTCATTGCCAGAGGTACTCTGCTTATATGGATGTAAAAGGTTCAACACCACTATTCAAAGAAGAGTGAGGCATTCTAGTGTTCTTGCCAACATTAACATCACTAAAATGACTTGACTGTGTATTTATGAACTTGTCGCTAATCAACACCAATTGATCAATGTGATGTTACAAGAATCAGCAATTATAGGTCATTAACTTGGAAATACTTCTCACATATAGCCATTACACATAGCAAGAAAATTCCTTTCTTTTTAAAATTGAAGTGGCTTTTCTCAATCCTCAAAGATAATAACTTAATAGCAACATTGACCAGTGTATAGGTCAGTAGTGGTCAGATATACCTCCATATTTAGCAGCTTTAGATGCAGCAAGTCCACCTGTAATGAGAGAAAATCAGGAAAGGTATTAGTCCAGGCAAGTTAGTCTGTATACAGGTATAATAACACACATTCCTGTAGATTACAAAATCACAGCACTCTCGAGAAGCAAGTTCTCTAAAATTATGCTTATTAACGCAAGTTGCTCAAATTATGTGAATATTAACTTCTAAAATCCATTGGGTGAATGTCCAACTGCTGAAAATTGTGATTAAGAACTTAAGAGTTTCTGTGTGTCTGTGGCAAGTCTGTCTTATATTTCTTTAACTAAATTAACATTTGTGAACTCTCAAAATATTCCAAGACGTGTGGTGAACTTTACTCAATCCTTATAAAATATCGTAAGAACTGTTTTCTGCTTTGGAAGAACCTAACATAGCTTTTTAAGTCAGGTTTTCTTACACTTTGCTTGATACTCTCTGCTAACACATAGAATTTGACTAAGCATTTTATTTAAAGTTTTGATAATGGCATTATTTTTATCCATCCCAAAGTCTATCAGATTTTACCTGACATTGTGCATAATGAGCAAGCCTGATTTACAAGAACTCACTTAAAACCCTTGTTTAACTTCAATATGCCCAGATATTCTTCTGCTTTTTGTGTTTGTTTTTCCTTAAATGCATGATGCTAATTGCCTCAACTACTCATATTTTAACTATTCTTAGTGTAATTAGAGTCACTTTTAGATCTATGGTGTATAACTTTGGATTCCCCAAAAAATTGTCCAAATCTTCCAATCCCCATCATTAGTGAATGAAAAGATGATCGCTGAGATAGATGGTCTCAATTTGATCAGATGTTTCAGGGAACCATTTTACATTGGAACTAGGGGCTTCCATTCTAGGAATGGCTTTGTGGGCAGCTGGAAGACCTTAGTGCGAGTCTCCCCAGAACCTAAAAACATGCAGACCTGGACAGAGTTCCTTATACTCCCCTGGTTTTACACTGATTTTGCAGCATAAGGCCTGATCAGAAGTGCACCTCAAAGTAAATACAGTGGAGTATCAAAGCACTGCATCTCCAACTGAAACCACATTAGAACCAGCTTCCTCACAGCTCACCTTGCTGACACAACTCATCACTCCTCCCCGCCAGTGCTGACCATTTTGTTGAAAATGCTCATCTATTTTCTGATGAAGCCTCACCCCATGATGATACAGCTAACTGCCATATCACTACCAACTCTGGGCACTCGAACCGCCAAGGAAATTAATTATTTGGAAACCGTAATGTGTGGATATGTGCAACGGTAATGGCATTGTTTTGCTCAAATTGCGCTGAGGACATTTGAACCAATCATAGGCAAACACAAATCTTACATTTGTAATGCCTCCAATCATAAAAGATTCAAACAGAAGATTACAACACAGAAAAAGAACTAATTGGGAAACTATCAGTCTTAAGTGAACAACTTAAGTTGAATCTGAAAACTCTAAAGCCTCTTGGGGATCTTCCTATATAAGTACAAGTATAGAGTCATAGAGGCATACAGCATGGAAACAGGCCCTTCGGACCAACTCATCCACACCCACCAGATATCCCAATCTGACCTAGTCCCATTTGCCAGCATTTGGCTCAAATCCCTTCAAACCCTTCCTATTCATATACCCACCCAGGTGCCTTTTAAATGTTGTAATTGTACCCCACCACTTTCTTTAGTAGGTTGTCCCATACATTCACCACCCTCTGCACGAAAATGTTACCCCTCAGGTCCTTTTCAAATCTTTGCCCTCTCACCGTAAACCTATGCCCTCTAGTTTTGGACTTCACCACCCAGGGGAAAAGGACCTTGGCTATTCACTCTATCCACGTCCCTCATGTTTTTATAAATCTCTATAATATTACCCCTCAGCCTCGGATGCTCCAGGGAGAAAAGCCCCATCTGTTTAGCTTGTCCCTGTAACTCAAACCCTCCTGTCCTGGCAACATCCTTGTAAATTCTTTCTGAACCCTCTCAAGTTTAACAACATCCTTCCTTTAGATGGGCAACCAGACGTGTATGCAGTATTCTAAAAGTGGTCTCACCAATGTCCTATACAGCCGCAACATGACATTCTAACTCCTTTACTCAATGCACTTACCAATGAAGGCAAGCGTGCAAACTCCTTCTTCATCATCCTGTCTACCTGTGACTCCACTTTCAAGGAACTATGCACCTGCATTCCTAGGTCTCGTTAGGCAACTCTCCCCAGGGTTCTATCATTAAATGTGTAAGTCCTGCTCTGATTTGCCTTACCAAAATGCAATACCTCACGTTTATCTAAATCAAACTCCATCTGCCACTCGTCGGCCCATTGGCCATCTGATCAAAGTCCCATTGTACTCTGAGATAACCTTCTTCACTGTCCACTACATCATCTACTTTGGTGTCATCTGCAAACTTACTAACCATGTCACCTATATTCACATCCAACTTATTTGCACTTGAATATATCATGTTTATCAAGGTTCCCATAAATCACTATGGGCTATCCTCCAGACACAAAATCCAAATTTTGGTCTTTTAATGGACGATAATCAGCCTAGATCCTGCAAGTGGGAATGTTTTGATTGAAGTGAGTCAAATCAAAAAATGCAAATATTCTTCAATCAAGAGACATTTGGGGATTAACATAGGACCATTTCAATGGATTGCAGAAGAATTGTACTTTCTGATGCAGTCATGAAGCCCGTTTTATTTTTACAATCAACAATGCATGATGTTGTCCAAACAATTTTAGTAGAAAGGAATATGCCAGGATAGTAAAATGGGAGTGGAAAACTCAGAACATGTACGTGTTCTTTTAACAGACTTGTGAGTGGCAAGGCATGAACATTTCCACACTGCATCAGTGATGAAAGCATCAATGTGCAGTTATTTTCTTTTGCTTCAGAAATTAATTTTGTCTTGTATTGGGTACCTCCATTTGCACAGGAATGGGATGAGACAGACTTACACACTTTATGAAAAGTATAATAGAAGAAAATGTATCTCAAGAAACAGTAAATTACCCACTCCGATGCCAGGCTGGCCAACTCCTGCGCCAGGCTGGACTCCTACTCCAACACCAGGCTGCACACCCACTCCAAGGCCTAAATCAGATAGAAGGAATTTAATAATTAGAAATAGTGAAAGGCTTTACATAAAGCAATGTGACTTTATAGACTTTTTCAGCTAATTATTGCCAATGGTGGAAAAAAAGCAAATTTGAAATCCTGTTTATATATCCAGACATTGATTTCAGAAGTTAAGTTAAAATGTTATTGTCCCTAACTATTATTCTTCAATGTCAGAGGGAGAAAGCATTGCTTTGTCAGAGGTGCCATATTTTGGATGAGACAATAGATGCCAATCTACCTGTTCATATGGATAAAAAGAAAAGGTCTGATGATACTACCCAAACCAGAATGAGGCATTCTGATGTTCTTGCCAACATTAGCATTCACTAAAATCATTTAACTGTGTATTTAGAAACTGCTCTCCATCAATGATAGTTTTGGAAAAAAAAAATCAGCATTGGTAAAAGTTCACATCCCATTATTGAATGCCGATATTATTTTCTGTCTCATATTAGTGGTTGTGCTGGATAATCCTGCCAATATGATGTTGCATGATTTTTCAGAGTATAGGTTAGTAACATGAAAATGCTTCTCATTTATTTATAACATGCATCAGGAAAATTCCCCTCTCTTTTACAATAAACTTTTTTTAATGCTCAAAAATAATGATTTGACAATTATTTAGACCAGCGAATCTGTTAGCAGATGGTAGACTTACCTTGATATTTAGCAGCTTTAGATGGAGCAGCTCCACCTGCAGTGATAGAAAAATCAGTAAGTTTTGATACAGTTACAGCTACAGTGTCTTCATATATGCATAACAAGAAGCATTCTGAAGATTACAGCAACACAGCATTCCTGAAAAATAGATTCTCTGAAATCTTGCTCATTAAAATGAATTGTCCAAGTTGAACTGATGTTAACCTGAATTCCATTGGGTGAATATCAACTTTGTGATGAAGCAGTTCTTTCCAAATTCAGACAGTTCTTGTCAAGTTTAATTAACACATTAGAATTAGGTCAATGTTCTCAAATGTTTCAAGAAGTGTGCTGAGCTTGGTTTACATTTAATTACCAAACAGATTTAAAAATAAAACCTTATATGAATATATTGAATAGATAGGAGGAATTGTGGAATAGTGGATAGTGTTCCTGCTGTTCACTGAGCTCCGAGTTCAAGTCCTACTGTAGGATTGATGGCCAAGGAAGCTACGTTCATACTGTCAACCTGTAAACCTTCCAATCATTCCAAACCTGCCAATGACAGGCAAGAAGAGTGAGTGAGATTCTTGGTCAGATATGTGACAAAAAGAAAATGACAGACTCTACCATCTTCATTCTTTGTTCTGGTCTACAGCATGCATGGAAAGTGCATGGACATCATGAGGAACCAGTTAGATTAGTTTGCTGAATGGATGGTGTGGCTCAGACTGGGATAGAACTCCATTCTAGCTATGATGGATTAGAATCTGCTTCCTTGCCTTACTCATAGTATGTATGTATAGGTCCTGCAGGTGAAGAAGAAACATTCAATAATAGCTTCCAAATCAAGGTCCTGACATTCTTCTTGATATTCTCTCCTGACCTGTACTACCTACCTAAACATCTTACTGAAAGTGGTAGTACTGCTATTACGTTGGTTGTTCACCTGCCCTAAAATCAGTCAATTGTCATGTAGACATTCTGCTTAGTGAACATGTCCCATACATGAGAACATTCTCTGTACAAGCAGAGACCGGTGAATATACTGTATGTCTAAAAAGCTTGTGCTTAATTACTCCATGTAAAGGTATTCTTGATTTTCTCCCTTGTGTTTTGTTTTATCTATTTTTACCTTAAATCCATGCATGTTAATTGATTCAACAAATAATTGTATGGGTCAGTTCCACATTCTAATCACTCCCTGGGTAAAAGGTCATATTCTGAATTCTCTATTGGATTTATTGGTCACTGTTTTATGGTTATTGCCTCTAACTTTTGACTCCCTGACAAGAAGAAAAATGGACTCTGATCTTCTGATACAAGCAGCAGTGAATACTGAAGTGTTTGTTGTTATTGAGGATTAGAATGGCATCAGATGTTCTGGGTACCAATTTATGCTGGAAGTAAAATCTTAAATTATATCTTCTGATGATGGTGGTAGTAATAGCACTCATTCAGTAATCTGGAGGTCTATGCTAATGCTTTGAGGTATAGGTTCAAATTTTACTATGGCAACTGGTGGAATTTAAATTCAATTAATAAAATCCAGAAATGAAAGGTAATCTCAGCATTGGTGGCCATGAGATTATCATCGGTTGTTATTTCTGGTCACTATAATGTCTTTTTAGGGAATCTGTCATCCTCATTCAGTCTGGTCTACATGTGACTCTAGATCCACAGCCATGCGTTTGCCTCTTAAAAGCTGTCTGAAATGGTCTTGTGTGCAACTCAGTTCATGAATGATTAGGGACAGGCAACAAATGCTGGCCTTGCCAATGATGTTAAAAACCGTCAGAGAATACATTTTAAAAATATTGCTACTATTCCATTGGAACTCTTGCTGATGGTGTTTCATTACCCGTAAACATGTAAACGTGGGCATCCTGACTTGAATTTACCCTGGTATTTACAATAATATACTTGGAGCTGTTCCTAACAGGCATCAAGTCTATTCAAAAATTGAGCTCTAAATAAGTCAGGTTAAGCTCTAATGACTACAGGTATTTTGTTTGGAAATATGAACTGGAAAACAGAAATTTGGACTACTCTGTTGTAGCGAATGAATGAGTTAGTTTTTCCTCATAACTCAAAAATGCAACTGTGTAGACATTTAATGGTTACATAATAACATTTAACTTTTTTGGTGTTGGAGGCTGGATTTTGATACTTTTGAGACACAATGGCATCATGCATCTTTCAAAAAGCAATCCAGCAACAGGATTTGGATTAAGTACAGCTTGTCATAGGCCTGAGGTGCAATTGGAACAGAGACTTCCATAAAGCTTGAATGCATGCTAGATCCTTCTGTTACGCTCTCTTTTCAGTTGGAAAAGAAATAAACTTGTCTTCACAAAAAGAAAAACAACTTTCAATTTCAGCCAAGATCTAAATCTAACTGACCGGCTACCAAATTGAAGCTAGCCGCAGTTAACAACAACTAGCTGCAATTCAAAAACGAACTGTGAAGAAACTCTACTCATTCCACCCCTTTTGGTTTAGACTTTGATCTGTAGACAGTGTCATTTTTGCCTACATTTTCCACACATAATATTTCTAAGATAACTTTTGTGTCTGTCTGTCCTATGTATGTGCTTTTGAATTTAAAGTTGGTATATTTTAAATTTGCCTTCTAGTACTTAGTATTTTGATTTTGCCACATGTTAGAGAATAAATTTGTTATAAATTTATGCATCACTGTCAGAGGAATTCTTTTGGATTATGATGCTGTATAAAAGGCAATTCTGGTTTTTTTGAGTTAGTTCCTGAAGCATAAAGACAAAAGTTTCAAAATTTAAGGAAATAACTTCAGCAAAGCTAATGTGAATTTGAAAGGGTAAAGCATAATAAATTTAACTGGTGGATCATAAAGGAAATCATTTTTTCTTTCAACTCCGTAGACCTGAAATGGATAAGAAGTGAGAGGGTGAAAGATGATAAGTAGTCAGAGTAGTGAAGAAACAGCTGGGAATGCTCCGGGATTTCATGCTGAGACGAGAAAGTAAGGGCTCAGAGGATCATTTGCTTAATTGTTTCCATTGTCACAAAGTAGAACATTTTCATTCAAAATGCTGGAAGTTGCAATGGATGCACATAAGACTGACTGTGTTTCAGAAGTGAGAATCTGAAAAGGGAACTCACAAGGTAAGTACCATGGACCAAATTGTAGCTTTGACTGCAACTGTGAAACCAAAGTTAAATACCGCTGTGAGTGCAGGAGGGGTGAAGGATAGAAGAATGATATAATAGGTTTTTGATGAAAGGCAAAGTAATCCTTTATTCAAATGATACAGCTAAAGCCAAAACTATATTAAGGGATACAGCAGTTATGTATCAGTTTTACGAGAGAAGGACTTTATTTCTCCTTCAGAGAGTCTGCTTTGAAAGCCAATGTTTTAATAAACAGGGTAAGTGGAGAATACATACCTGTTTCTATGTACAAAGTTCACACAGAATGCGACCTAGCATCTGAAACATTGGTAGTAGGAATTTTCAGAAATTACCTGTGGATGGAACTGACTTACTCCTAGGTAATGATTTAGGTGGAGTAACTAAATTTATTGCTTTGCCTAGAACCATAGAAAGTCTAAGTGAAGTTAAAGAGAAGGAAAAGATACAGGCATGAGTTGCAGAAAAGTTTTCCCATGTGAATGGTGACTAGAGCAATGGCAAAACAAAGTCCAGTGCTGGCATTTTGAGTATTAATCATTGATGAAGTGCCTTAATTGCTTACCTGCAGAAGACATAGATCATTTAGTTTTAAGTAACACTGAATGGTTGTCTTAAAATGTGTGATAATTCCCTGAGTGCCATTATAAATGATATCATAGTCCTGTTATTCTGTCTTTTTTGGCCATACAGACAATAACCAATGATGTCCATCCAATTAATTTTGGTTGACAGGAATATCACAGGCTGACTTTGCAAGAATGGACAATCTCAGCCATTCAGAAAACTTGCAGATTCTCTTGACAATCCAATAACTCTTCATACAATGTCCTTGATGAATGCATCCAGCTGTTGTTATTTTCTTTCGCTTTTGATATTAATTTCAAAGTGAGTCAGATATCTCCATTTGCACAGAATTGGGATGAAGTAGAGTTATATACTCTTTGTAAAATAGAATGGAGAACAATGTCATCCAAAAGACAGTAATTTACCTACTCCGATGCCAGCCGGGACACCCACTCCAACACCAGGTTGCACACCCACTCCAACGCCAGGCTGCACACCCACTCCAACGCCAGGCTGCACACCCACTCCAACGCCAGGCTGCACACCCACTCCAAGACCTACATTGAGATCAAAAAAGAATGTGATATTTCAAAATAGTGACTTGTTATTTTAGAACATTAAAGGACAAAAAAAATAAGTTTTTTTGGTCTATTGTGGCACACAGTGAAATAAAATCGCCCCAGGAAATCTGCTGCCTTTTTAATTCCAGCACTTCAACATTTAAACTAAGATCTTATGCTACTAAGTATTATTCTTAGATGTGGGAATGGAAAAGTGCAGCATTTTTCAGAGCTGCTGTCTTTTTGATGAGGCAATCTGTCTGTTATCATTGATCTGAAAAGCTGCAATAAACTGATGGCCATACTAGTCTAAAAAAGCCTAATCTCAAAAACTAAGCGGACTTATGCCTTGTTAGTGCTTGGTTGGGAGACCAACTGGGAATATTAGGTGCAGTAGTAGTGCTCTTAAACCTAAACCTCCTAGCCCAGCGTTAAGTCCCACCTGTTCCAGATGAGTGTCATAACATGCCTGAGTAAGTTTATTAAAACTATTTAAGAAGATATTATGTTATCCAAAGGATGAGGCTTTCTGGTGTCTTGACAATCACTAAACTAGCATAACAATTTATTTATAAATTGGTTACTAATAAGAATCAGTTTTCAAAACAAAAGAAAAAATATGCTAAAAGGTTCAAAACACATCATTGAGTACTTGATGGTGTTTTCTGCTTCAGTTTAACGGTTGCACCAGATCATCTGACTGACTTGATATTGCAAGACACAAAAACTGAAATGGTTGAAGAAACTTAGCAGTTCACATATGCTGCCAGATTTGCAACATCAAAACAAAACATTGTGGATGCTGGCGGTCTGAAATACACGAAAACAAAAACTGTTGGTGAAACTTAGCAGATCACATATGCTGTCATACTTGCTGAGTTTCTCCAACAGTTTTTGTTCTTGTGTATTTCAGATTGCCAGCATCCACAATGCTTTGCTTTGTTTTGATGTTCCAAGAATGATCAGAGTATATGTTACTAATGTGGAAATGTGTCTCACGTAGCCATTACATTCACCATTTAAATTCCTTTCTCTTTCACATTTAATTGGTTTTACCTTGATTTTCAAGGATAATAATTTGATCATTACATTGACCAGTGAATATATGTTAGCAACTGTAGTTTTACCTCCATATTTGGCAGCTTTAGGTGCAGCAGCTCCGCCTAGAATGAAATTGAAAAGTAAATTTATTGTAATAATACAGCTAAGTCTGTCTCTATATAGATATGACAAAATGTCATTGATCATGAAATACGGAAGATTACAACCACACAGCATTCCTGAGAAATATGAGTCAGAAACATTCCACAATAACAAAATTTACTCAGATCAATTTCTGAACTCTATTGGGCAAATGCTCATCTAAAAAAATTGTAACTATGAAATAATCAAGAGACTCTGGTATTCTATGATTGTAGCAATGTTCAGTTAGTTGTGACATTTCATTGCATAATGTGGTAACACCACTTATACAGAAATAGCGCAGAACAGAATTACATAGGCTATAAATGAAGTAAAATGGAGCAAAATATCTTTCAGAAGACAGCAAATTACCAACTCCAATACCAGGTTGGACAACTCCAGCGCCTGGCTGCACACCTACTCCAGCGCCCCGCTGCACTCCTACTCCAACACCTATATTAAGATAACAAGAATTTAATAATTAGAAACAGTAAATGATTTATTTACAAAATAGTGCAAATTAAGGGGTTTTTGGAAAACAGTGTTTGACAGCGATACAAATAATGTGAACTCTGATCCATGTTCACTTTTTAATTCTAGATGTTCATTTCAACACCTCAAGGTGAGCTGTTATTCGTCCTAACTATTCTCCTTCCATGCAAGTTGGAGGGAGTGCTGGATTGTTAGATATCATATCTACTGGATGAGATGTTAAACTTAAAGCCAAACTCTGTGGACAGGGTGCTCCTAAGACACTATCCACATAAGGGTAAGGAACTTTCCTAATTACATTGTTCAACTCTTGAATAACCAGTAGAATGGTTTTACTCCCTATAGTATTCGCTATATGCATGACTGGTTCCTAATGCCGATTTGTTCCTGCGGTCATCAACATAGCAACAGCAATGCCAATCCAAAAAGTAACTAATTGCTAGAAAGCACTTCAGGCTGTTCTATAGTCTGAAATTAATAAAAGAAAAATCTGGAGATGACTGCTCAAGGACATCCATATCAATTACTGACTGAAGCATATATTCCAGAGTTCAGAAATTTCAGTTATAGGGATAGATTGAAGAAGCTGGGATTGTTTTCCTTGGAGAAGAGAAGATCTGTTTTGAAGTATTCAGAATCATAAGAGGTCTAGACAGATTAAATTTGGAGAAATTGCTCCCTCTCATGAAAAGAACAAGAATGAGAGGGCACAAATTTGAAGTAATTAGTGGAAGTGATATGAGCAAAAAATGTTTCCACGCAGTGAGCAATTAGGTTCTGGAATGTAATGCTGGGTGGTGCAGGCAGGTTTAATTTAGGCATTCAAAAGAAAAATTAGATAGTTATTTGAAAAGTAACAACGTAAAGAGCTATGGAGAAGAAGGCAGAAGACTGACACCAAGACGCTTATTTGAAGACACGATGGCCTCCTTCAGCAGTGTAACAGTTTTGGATTCTGCAGTAAAGAAAGAACATTAATGCAATTAATGAAAAATATGTTTTATTCTATTTGGCTTTTGGTTAGGTTATCCAAAAGTATCAAAATGTATTAACTTTAAAAAATGCACTTTTTTTACAATTCATTTTTGTGGTATGTGGGAATCACTGGCTGGCCAGTATTTATTGCCCAACTGTAGCCGCCCTTGAGAAGGTGGTGATGAGTTCCGTTCTTGAACCGCTGAAGTCTACCTGCTATGAGTTGACCCACAATGTCATTAGGGAAGGAATTCCAGGATGTTGATCCAGCGATAGCAAAGGAATGGCAATACATTTCAAAATCAGCATAATGAGTGACTTGGAGGGGAAATTGAAGGTGGCAGTATTCTCATGTATCTGCTGCCCTTGTCCTTCTAGATGGAAATGGTTGTGGGTTGGAAGATGCTGTCTGAGGATCTTTGGTGAATTTTTGCAGCGCATCTTATAGACAGCTCAGTAGCAGCATTGTACACTTTGGTAGTGGAGGGAATGGATGATTGTAGATGTAGTGCCACTCAAGCAGGCTGCTTTGTCCTGGACGGTGTCAAGCTTCTTGAGCGTTGTTGGAACTGCATTCATCCACGCAAGTGGGGAGCATTCCATCACACTCCTGACTTGTGCCTTGTAGATGATAGACAGGCTTTGGGAAGTCAGGAGGTGAGTTACTGGCCACAGCATTCCTAGCCTCTGACCTGCTCTTGTAGCCACTGCTTTTACGTGGCGAGTCCAGTTGAGTTTCTGGTCAATGATAACCCCCAGGATGTTGATAGTGGGAGATACAGTGATGGAAACACCACTGAATATTGAGGGTGGTGGTTAGATTGTCTGTTATTGGTGATGGTCATAACCTGGCATTTGCGTGGCACGAATGTTACTTGCCACTTATCAGTCCAAGCCTGGATATTGTCCAGATCCTGTTGCATTTGAACATGGACTGCTTCAGTACCTGAGAAGTTGCAAATGGTGCTGAACATTGCGCAATCATTAGCGAATAGCCTTACTTCTGACATTATAATGGAGGGAAAGTAATTGACAAATCAGCTGAAGATGCCTAGGACACCACCCTGAGGAACTCCTGCAGAGATGTTCTGGAGCTGAGATGACTGACCTTCAACAACTATGACCATCTTCCTATGTGCCAGGTATGAATCCAACCTGTGGAGAGTTTGCCCTCTGACACCCATTGATTCTGGTTTTGCTAAGGCACCTTGATGCCACACTCAATCAAATGCAGCCTTGATGTCAAGGGCTGTCACTCTCATGGCATCTCACTCTCATGGCATCTCACTTTAGTTAACATTAATCTTGGAAAGACATGACAGCATATGGTTCTGGAACAGTCCCAGCAGATTGGATGGTAGCAATTTAATACCACTCATTAAAAAAGTATGGAGAAAGAAAACCTGGGCTTACAATCTGGTTATCTACCGGCAGTAGGGAAATGTTAAAGAAGTAAAGGATGTGATAGGATGTAAAGGATGCGTAAGTTTCAGAATACTGATGGACAAAGACGAGAGTGGTCCTAAAGAAAGAAAGAGTGCTGAATTGGGGGAAGGCCAACTATAGCAAAATTCAGCATGAGCTGGGGAAGGTGGTTTGGGAGCAGCTGTTTGAGGGTAAATCCACATTTGATATGTGGGAAGCTTTTAAAGAGAGGTTGATTAGAGTGCAGGACAGACATGTCCCTGTGAAAATGAGAAATAGAAAGGGCAAGATTAGGGAGCCATGGATGACAGGCGAAATTGTGAGACTTGCAAAGAGGAAAAAGGAAGCATACATAAGGTCTAGGCGACTGAAAACAGACGAAGCTTTGGAAGAATATCGGGAAAGTAGGACCAATCTGAAACAAGGAATTAAGAGGGCTAAAAGGGGTCATGAAATATCTTTAGCAAACAGGGTTAAGGAAAATCCCAAAGCCTTTTATTCGTACATAAGGAGCAAGAGGGTAACCAGAGAAAGGGTTGGCCCACTCAAGGACAAAGGAGGGAAGTTATGCGAGGAGTCAGAGAAAATGAGTGAGATTCTTAGTGAGTACTTTGCGTCGGTATTCACTGAGGAGAGGGACATGACGGATGTTGAGGTTAGGGATAGATGTTTGATTACTCTAGGTCAAGACGGCATAAGGAGGGGGGAAGTGTTGGGTATTCTAAAAGGCATTAGGGTGACAAGTCACCAGGTCCGGATGGGATCTATCCCAGGTTATTGAGGGAAACGAGAGAGGAAATAGCTGGGGCCTTAACAGATATCGTTGCAGCATCCTTGAGCACGGGTGAGGTCCCGGAGGACTGGAGAATTGCTAATGTTGTCCCCTTGTTTAAGAAGGGTAGCAAGGATAATCCAAGTAATTATAGACCGGTGAGCCTGACGTCAGTGGTGGGGAAGCTGCTGGAGAAGATACTGAAGGATAGGATCGATTTACATTTGGAAGAAAATGGGCTTATTAGTGATAGGCAGCATGGTTTTGTGCAGGGAAGGTCATGTCTTACCAACTTAATAGAATTCTTTGAGGAAGTGACAAAGTTGATAGATGAGGGAAGGGCTGTGGATGTCATATGCATGGACTTCAGTAAGGCGTTTGATAAGGTTCCCCATGGTAGGCTGATGGAGAAAGTGAAGTCGCATGAGGTCCAGGGTGTACTAGCTAGATGCATAGAGAACTGGCTGGGCAACAGGAGACAGACAGTTGTAGTGGAAGGGAGTTTCTCAAAATGGAGAACTGTGACCAGTGGTGTTCCACAGAGATCCGTGTTGGGACCGCTGTTGTTCGTGATATACATAAATGATCTGGAGGAAGGTCTGATTAGCAAGTTTGCAGATGACACTAAGATTGGTGGAGTAGCAGATAGTGAAGGGGACTGTCGGAGAATGCAGCAGAATATAGATAGGTTGGAGAGTTGGGCGGAGAAATGGCAGATGGAGTTCAATCCAGGCAAATGCGAGGTGATGCATTTTGGAAGATCCAATTCAAGAGCAAACTATACAGTAAATGGAAAAGCCCTGAGGAAAATTGATGCACAGAGAGATCTGGGTGTTTAGGTCCATTGTACCCTGAAAGTGGCAACGCAGGTCAATAGAGTGGTCAAGAAGGCATAAGGCATGCTTTCATTCATTGGACGGGGTATTGAGTACAAGAGTTGGCAGGTCATGTTACGGCTGTATAGGACTTTAGTTCGACCACATTTGGAATACTGCGTACAGTTCTGGTCGCCACATTACCAAGAGGATGTGGATGCTTTGGAGAAGGTGTAGAGGAGGTTCACCAGGATGTTGCCTGGTATGGAGGGCACTAGCTATGAAGAGAGGTTGAGCAGATTAGGATTATTTACATTAGAAAGACGGAGGTTGAGGGAGGACCTGATTGATGTCTACAAAATCATGAGACGTATAGACAGAATGGATATCAAGAAGCTTTTTCCCAGAGTGGGGGACTCAATTACAAGGGGTCACGATTTCAAGGTGAGACGGGAAAAGTTTAAGGGAGATATGCATGGAAAGTTCTTTACGCAGAGGGTGGTGGCTGCCTGGAACGCGTTGCCAGCGGAGGTGGTAGAGGCGGGCACGATAACGTCATTTAAGATGTATCTAGACAGATACATGAATGGGCAGGGAGCAGAGGGATACAGGTCCTTGGAAAATAGGCGACAGGTTTAGATAGAGGATCTGGATCAGCGCAGGCTTGGAGGGCCGAAGGGCCTGTTCCTGTGCTGTAATTTTCTTTGTTCTTTGATAACAGGCACTTAGAAAACATCAATGGGATAATGCAAATTCAACATGGATGTATCAAAGGAAAATTGTGTTTGACAAATTTACTGGGGATATGTGTGAAGTTGTCAATTTTGGCAGGGATAACAAAATAGCAGAGTAATATTACATGGTGATAGAATGAAAAATGTTGTTGTCCAATGGGACCTGAATGTACTTGTCGACCTGCTACTGAAAGTTCAGTTGGCTTGGTGGCAATGCAGAATGATGCCAACAGCATGAGTTCAATTCACGCTCTCGCGAGGTTACCATGAAGGACTCCCCTTCTTAACTTCTCACTTTTCCTCAGGTTAAACCACTACCAGTCGTCTCTATCTAATGAGGTACGACTGTGCTGACTTTAACTTACCAATGTCCTTACCTCCTGGAACTCCAGGCTGAACAGCTCCTTCAGCACCTGTATTAAGGAAACAAAAACATTGAGTTGGCTCATTTAAACACTGCCTATGACTGGGATGGTAAGTTGTATGAGTGTACTGGACTGGAGGATTTGTAATGGTTAAATTTTGTCCAAAGTGGTCACTCATTTAGGAAAAAACAACATATTCAGGTGGAGTTTGCTGAATGTATCAAATGTTATGATGTGGAGGTGCCGTGTTGGATTGGGGTGGATAAAGTAAAAAAATCACACAACACCATATCATGTGATTCCTTTGAATTGGCCATTGGAAATTCAGGTATCTTTTTAAAAGTTATCAGTCCCTACAGTGATTTTAACAATACATATTCTTGTGCATGGTTTCAGTGCCTGTCTCATGAATGTCTTCGCTTGGTACAATGCTCCAATGCGGTGTTATCCGAATGGCAGCACAATGGTTGGTGAATGGTGACTGATTTTCACTGTTGGAGAAGGCTAAATCACGAAGGAACTGAGTGAAATGTAATCACATGCTTTTGCTTGTGCCCAAAAGGGATTGTACAGGGCTTTTATTTTCCAAAACAGCAACATATGAGGTGGCTTGGCAGAATGACAGCATACAATATCTGACAACTACTAGCTTATAGTAGCAATGTTCGACCATCATACTTTTAATTGCTACCCCCATTCCCAGGCAAACCTCACCTCACACTATTGATTATACAGCTAAATAAAGATTGAACAAACTGAATGAATTCAAGAAATTGTGGGAATATTCCATTTGAAAAGCAGAAAGACACAAATAGAAAGTAAAACATACCATTCATTAGTATTTAATTACTGGATTTTACTTACAAAGAAACATTGCAACAGTAATCTGGTAATAATTAGACTTAAAATTATACAATAGTTTAAAATGCAGATTCTTTAGACTGTGCTATTTAGCTTTAAAATTCATTCTTCATATCTCGTGTCTCTATTATACATTTACTATTTTTCCAGTTATGTCTACTTACACATTCCATCAAGCCCTATCCATTTCGTTAAAACATTTATCATACTCTAAAAATTTTATGTGCCATATGATATACCAACTTTTTTCCTTCTGATGTTTCACTAGTGGATTAATGAATTGCACAGCAGATGGGCCCATTCTTTTAATTATAGTTTAGGAGAAAGATAGTTAGATTTTTAATACTGTCGCCACATATTTGAAGAACTCTGTTTTTATTGCTATTCTTTCACTCTGAACCCAACCACCAGATGCAGTTACATCCATTGAGCCACAGCCTGGATACCGGATAGAGGCTTTTCACACTGCAGTTCTGTGCAGCAAGCATGCCGTAGGATCATGTTTCTGAAAATACTGAATTTCATTGCTAAGTACACAGTAATAGTCAGAAAAGTAAGATTTATTAAGTATTATATGAAAAAAAGCAAAAATACTAGAAGTTTGAAACCAAGCAGAAGGTGATGGAAATGGTTAGCAAGGTGACCAGCAAGTACAACAGATGTAAAAGAAAATGTTAGAATAATATTTTATAAAATTATATCTGGGTTCTATTTAAAACATTAATCAATCAGTTGTTCTTTTTCAATTTTATTGTCCATGATTTTACCGTCAGTGATAAAACTCCTAATATAATGTGCCATACCAAATTTCACTTCTTTTTGTCATAAATATCAGACTTCTTATTTTCTCCAACGTCCAGGAATTTCAGTACCATAAAATCAAAAACAAAGAAAGAGACCAATTGGCCCATTGTGGCCTGTGCATTCCCAACAAATCTAAAACTTCTTTGTTCACAGATGAAACTGCCTGGTATACTTAACGCTACATACTCACTGGAGATTTACAATGATTGATTTCACCAACTAGAATATGATGTTTGGTGAAACGGTAATAACTGATCAATAATCATAACTTATAGGTCTAGTAAATCAAGAACAAATTATTGTACTGTTATACCTCCTGGAGCACCTAAATTAATAGCACAAGAAAGAACACATTAGAATATCAAATTGATCCATTTCATTAGTACAAAACTACATATGGGTGGGTGGGGCAGATGTGGGGGAGGTCATTGCAATGATCGATGGTTCCTTAAGGGAACTGAAAAGGTTAGAAGTACTTTGCACTTAAAGCACTACACTATTTTATGCTAATAAACAATAAACTTGTAAGAAATATATATATTACTTAATTAGCACGTAACAGGGCAAGGACGATTTTAGTAACCAATGTTTCTCTAACTAGTTGTTCCGGTTGATTATATTTTGTTGAACAGATTAGTAATAGTTTTTCCTCTTACAATAATATAGCAGTCAACTTCCTTTTAACAGTTTATTGTGGTCAAAGCTGATTCAATTTCATTTTGGAAATGCATCATTAATTTTTGATATATATATAAATATTAACATAAGCTTGTACATTAACAACTGGAACAGGGCATTTGGTTCCTCAAGCCTGCTCTGACACTGAATAAGATCAAGGCTGATCTGATTATGGCCTCAACATGCCCTTTCCTGCCTATCCTCTATAGCCTTTGAATCTTGTGTTCGCCAAGAATCTATCTGCTTTAAAAATATTCAACCAACCCACTTCTACACACCATCTTTTAGGGAAGAAAGTTCCATGGACTCCCAATCCTCAGGGGGAAAAAAAATTCTTCTCATCTCCATTTTAAATGAGAAACCTCTTATTTATAAACTATGTCCCTTAGTTTTAGTCTGTCCCAGAAGGGGAAACACTCTTTCAGCATATACCCTACCAAAGCTCCTCACCTATGTTTCAATAAGATTACCTCTCATTCTTATGAACTCCAATGGATACAGGCTTAACCCATTTAATCATTTCTCATAACGTAGTCCCTCATCACAGAAATTAGTTGAGTGAACACTCTCTGAACTGCTCCTAATGCAACTATGTCCTTACTTAAATAAGGAGACACAAACTGTATACAATACTTCTGCTGTGGTTTCACCAAAGCCCTGTACAACTGTAGCAAATCATCTCTACTCTTATATTTCATTTCCCTTGTAATAAACATAGAAGAGGAAATGATATAGCTGGAAGTCCTCACTTAAAAATAGTCTGTATTCCTGAAAATTGCAATCTTAAGTGAAATGATTTTACGTGAAGCATTGATTCCCATAGGACTCAATGTTAAAACTGGAGTTAGGTTCCATTTCAACTTCCTTAGCAGAAAAAAAATTCAAAACATTATATTTGTTGAATCTAAATTGAAATACAATATTTTAAATGGCTAAATACCCATTTGGTGATTTAAATTTGGTGTTAAAATAACAAATTTATAAAAATGTAACATTTAATAAACAGAACCTCCTGCAGTGGAACCTCCGAGAATGAAGACTGAAGCACCACTGCCCAGGGCCTGCACTGGGGCTCCTTTGTTCATCAGGGTCTGAGCCACCTGTTGGGGTTATTGCTCATTCCTGGCTTCAACATAGTTGTTGCCTTTGGCACAGTTTTTCAGATCCGTGTTGTTCTTTTTTGCTAGCTGCCACCACCTCTGGGGTCCATTTGACACACCTTTTGTTGAGTTGCTCCTCTTGGCTGGTTGTGGGACCATGACCTTCCTCCCTAACCTCATGGTGGGGTTTGAACTGTGGCTGGGATTAGATTGTGACTTATGGCTGGTAGGCAACATTGATTTTGCTCACGCTACAAGTCGGAAGTTTCTTTTTATTCTTCTTTAAAGGGATGAGGGCGTCGCTAGCTAGGCAGCATTTATTACCCATCCCTAATTGCCCAGAGAGCAGTTCAGAATCAACCACATTGCTGTGGGTCTGGAGTCACATGTAGGCCATACCAGGTAAGGATGGCAATTTCCTTCCCTAAAGGGCATTAGTGAACCAGATGGGTTTTTCAGATAATCGGCAATGGATTCATGGTCATCATTAGATTCTTAATTCCAGAAATTTTTATTGAATTCAAATTCCAGCATCTGCTGTGGCGGGATTCAAACCCAGGTCCCCAGAACATTATTTGGATCTCTGGATTAACAGTCAGCGATAATACCACTAGGCCATCACCACCCCTTGTTGAAGTGTTCTCTAATCCAATGAAATTTGAGGACATCACTGCACAGTTTTACTGACTGTAAGTTTAGTGCCTTGGGGAGAAGGAATGGCTCAAGTCGACTGTGGAGCTCCATTATAGCTTGTGCTTTGGAGCTATGGGGGACGGGGGTCAGATGGGCAGGTGGCTAGAATGGGGTCTTCCAATCTGATTCAAGCAGATTCTCTGCAGATGATCACCAGCTGGCAAAGAGTGGCAATCTACTGTGTCTGAGAGGGTCCTGGGGCTGATACTTACAAGTGTGTTGGTTTGGTAGTGGAAAGCATGACAGCCTCTCGGGGTGGATGCTGTTGGGCTGCAGGTGCAATATGATCACAGTTTGGTGGCTGTTCCATCAAGTAATTTTGTGGGGCCTGGTGGCTGGGCATTCTTGGTGCAGCCCTCAAGCAGGCATTGGGCATAGGCCACATCAGTGAATAGGAGCATTTGCGCTAAAGTGGTGTGCATTGTGTCAGGTACTACAGTAAACAATGTTAAAACAAATCTATCTCATGATGTGCAACTAGGCTTCACAATACAATAACTTAATGTTAAAGCAAAAGAAAGCTCAATGTGGAATTGTTAAATGTGGATTCTGCATCCTAAGTGGACTAGTGTTCCAGTGAACCCCACAGAAGTTCTGGGAACATTGGCTTGAATTCCAACATGGCAGATCGTCAAATTTGAATTCAATTAATAAATTTGTATTTAAAAAAGTGAGTCAGATTATGACCACAAAACCATTGCTGGTTTTTGTAAAAAACCATTGTTTCACTGATGCCCCTTAGGAAAGGAAAATCTTCCATCCTCATCTGGTCTGGCCTACATGATTCAGATCCATAGTAATCTGATTGAGTCTTAAATGCTCTCTGAAAGGGCCCAGCAAGCCACAGTTGAATCTAACCACTGGTGGTAAAGTTTGATCATGTAAATGAAACTCAGCAGGCGAGCTGCCATGGATCGAGGCACCAGAAACAACCATGACACAACCAGCTCTGCCAACCCTGCAAAGTATTCCTTTCTTTGGCTTGTGTCAAACTTGGAGCAGCTGTTCCACTGACTAGTCAAGCAACAGTCTGATATTGTAATGTCTGATTCTGTGAGAATGACTATGTTGCAGACAGCAACACATCATTTCACTGCAGGTCAGATCTATCAGAGTGGTTATAGTTGGGAAAGATTTTATTAAGAGTCCTAACATTGACTCTGGACCCCACAGAGTCTATGGCATCAGGTCAAACATGGATACGAAAACCTCCTTTTGATTACAACTACAGGCCTGCAGATTTCAGGCAGCTGTCACGCTAGTGAAGACATAACACAGAATTACTTGCAGCAGCATATACAGAGATCTATTCAAGTGATCTCACAAGCAATGAATCAGGTCTAAGCCTTGCGTCCTGCTACATCCAGTCATGAATTAGGTTGGACAATTAACAACTCATTGAAGGAGGATGTTTCACAAATATCGCCATGCTCCATGATGGGTCCCAGCACACCAGTGCAAAAAACAAAGCTGAAGCATTAATCTTCAGTCAAAAGTGCTGTGCTGACAATTCATTTCACTCTCTTCTTAAGGGCCCAGCATCACAGATGCCAGCCTTCAGCCAATCTTATTCACTCCATGTGATATCAAAGAACAGCTGATGGCACAGGATGTTGTAAAGGCAATGAATGCTGACAACACTCCATCAATACCACTGACAGCTTGAGCTCCCTGGACTAGCCACACCATTAGACAAGCTGTTTCAGCACCGTTAAAATAGTAGTTACCTTACAATATGAAAATTTTCAGTTTTGATCAATCGACAAAAAGTAGGACCAACCTCACACAGCTAATTACCACACTGTTGGTTTGCTCTCATCAGAAAGGTGATGCAAGTTGTAGTTAATAGTGCAGTACAATCAAATAGCATCTACGCAACAATAATCTGTTTCTTGATACTCAGTTAGGTTCCGTTTGTCCAAATCAATTCCTAAGCTCACCACAGTCTTAGTCAAAATATGGAAAAAAGAGCAGAACTCAAAGAGATGAAGCAAGGGTGATGGCCTTTTACAGCAAGGCAGCATTTCACTGATTGTGGCATCAAGGTCTCTGTGCGAAATGAAGTCAATGTAAATCAGGGGAAAATCTTTGCTGGGGCAGTCAAACCTAGCACAAAGGAAAATGATAGTGGTTGTTAGATGCCAATAATCTCAACGACAGGATATCACTGCAAGAGATAGGCTTGTGGCCTATGCCCAACCATCTTCAGTTGCTTCATCAATGACCTTCCATTCACTATCAGGTCAGAAGTAGGGATGTTCTTTGATGACTGCATGACGTTCAGCTGTATTTGTTGATGATTGCACAATATTCAGTAGCATTCGTGACTCTTCAGATACTGAAGCACATGCAGCAAGATCCTGATGACATTTGAGCCCAGCCTAATAGGCAGCTGGCAACATTCTTACCAAATCTGTGCCAGACAATGACCATCTCCATCAGGAGAGAATCTAAGTATTGCTCCTTGACATTCAATGGCATTACCATCACTGAATCTACTACCATTAACATCCTAGGGGTACCAGCAACTGAACTGGACTAGCCATATAAATACTGTGATTTTAAAAGCAAAGCACAGGCTGGGAATTCTGCAGCTTAGTAACTTACCTCCTGACTCCGTAAAGTCAGTTTACCATCAACAAGGCACAAGTCAGAAATGTGATGGAACGCTACCTACTTGCCTGGATGACTGTAACTCCAACAACTCCAACTCCAACATCACACAGGACACAGCACTTGATTTTCTCACCCCATCTAATGCCTACAAGATGCCTGTAACAAAACACCAAGGCTCCTTAAACACAACCTTTCAAACCAGCAAACTCTACCACCCAGAAGGAAACGTGTATGTCAACACTTACAAGTTCTCCTTCAAGTCATGTACCACCATGACTTGGAACTATAGTGCTGTTCCCTCACTGTTGCTGGAATTTCTGCCCTAATACCACTGTGGGTTTGCCGACACCACATGGACTGCACCAGTTCAAGATGGTAGTTGAACACCACCTTCCCTTAGGCAATTAGACATTGGCAGTAAATGCTGGCCTAGCCACTGCATCCAGTGAATGAAGAATAAAAAAAATCCATTTTCTTCACTAAACACTTGTTGTACCTGCATTTAACACTTTTTAAAATTCTTCTGCCAGGACACCTATATCACTCTGCAATCTCTCTTCATTTAAATAATATGCTTTTTTCAATTCTTCCTGCCAGTGGATAAGTTCAAATTTTGCCACATCATATTTCACTTGCCCAATTTTTTTGTCCACTCACTTAACCTATCTATATCCCTTTGCAGACTCCTCTCATGTCTTCTTCACAACTTGCTTTCTTACCTATCTTCATCTCATCAGCAAATCTTGCAACATTCATCCCCTTGATGGAAGTCATTGATTTGGCTTGTAAACAGTTGAGGCACTAAAACTGATTGTGTGGTACTCTACACATTACATCTCGCCAAACCACAAATTACAATTTTATGTCTATTATCATTTTCATGTTAGCTAACCAATCTTCTATCCATGCTAACATCATACCCCCTCCATTAGAAGATCTTAATTTTTGTAGAATCCAATGTTATGGAACTTTGTCAAATACTTTTTGGCAATGTATGTACATCGCTAAAGAATTCTAATAAATTAGTCAATTGGTTTCATTAAAGCTGATTGCATTGAGATCACAAGGATGTTATGATGGAGCTGTACATATAATGTTAGTTAGGCAGCAACTGAAATACAGTGCAGTTCTGGTCACCAAATTATAGGAAGGATGTCACTGCACTAGAGATGATGCAGAGGTGATTCACCAACATGTTGCCTAAGCTGAAGCGATTCAGCTTTGAAGATAGACTCGATGTTAGATTTATTTGCCTTAGAGCACAGATGGCTGAGAGAGGACCTGACTGAGGTACACAAAGTTACGAGGGGCATAGACAGAGTGGATAATGAAAAACTTTTCCCCTTAGTGAAGAAGTCTATAACCAGAAGCACAGTTTTAAGCAAAGGAGCAGGTGTTTAGAGGGGTTTTGAGGAAGAACTTTTTCACCCAGATGGCGTTAGATATCTGGAACTCTATGCCTAGAATGGTGGTCAAGGTGGGAACCCTCAAGATATTGAAGTAATCTTTAGATGAGAATTTGAAATGCCATAGCATGCAAGGCTATAGGTCAAGTTCTGGAAAATTGGATTAGAATAGATAGATTATTGATGGCTGGCACAAACACAATTGGCCAAAGGGCTTCTTTTTAAAACAGAAAAGATGCTTATTCTAAAAATAGAACATTATATTAATCACACATCATTAATGAAGAAACACGTTCATAACATTATTATTTAGAAGAAGGTAGACTTTTGATGGTATATTGTACATGCTGCAAACCAGGGATATTTATTCATTTTTAATTTGAACACAACTTTATTCCACCTTCAAAGCCTGTATAATATTTAATGTTTTTATAAGCTATCAACTAAATATGATATATCAAGTATTAAAATTTACCTCCATATTTTGCAGCTTTGGCTGCAGCAGCTGCACCTGAAATGACAAAGAATTGACAGACTTACTAAAATAAATGTTGCTTGGCCTGCTGTGTTCATCCAGCCCTGCACCTTGTTGTCTCGGATTCTCCAGCATCTGCAGTTCCTACTATCTCCAAAATAAATGATTGATTGCTGATGACGGTTCTGCACTAGGCATGCATGAAATTTACCAGTATAGCTATCAGGGAAGCATCAACAACATAGTAAGAGTTCTATTATGAAGTTCAAAAAGAATAAAAAGAAATTTGATCATTTACAAAATGCTCATCCTCAAAAGAGTGACAAAAAACAGCTAGTTTGTTAAACTGCAATTATTCAAATTTGGATGATCTTGCAAAAAGACACAGTAATCGATATGGTCCAAAAAGATGAACTCACAACTAGTCAGGATAGGATAGAGGGAAAAGTGGGTGCTGATTCATCTCCTGTGCATGTGGCTTTGTCATACAAATTTACAACTATATACTTCCTGCTGAATTGATTGCTGAACTTTGCATATATTGTCTATGTTTATCAGTTCTGGTTGAAACTACTAGGTTGTGATATGAACAAAGAAGCATAAGAAGACCAAATTAGAGGAAACACACAAACTTATAAACAACACCTTCACCGGAATAAAATTCACCAGACAGGAAGAGAAGCACAAACAGCTCCCATTCCTGGATGTCATGGTAGAGCGTAAGACAAATGGGGAACTGCAAACGAAAGTACACAGAAAAGCCACACACACAGACCAGGTACTGAACTTCAACAGTAACCATCTCAGCACACACAAACGAAGCTGCATGCGAACATGTTTAAAAGGGCAACAACACACTGCAGCAACACAGAACTATGCCAACAGGAAGAAGAATACCTCTTCCAGGTTTTCAGGGATAATGGATATCCGAAAAACTAGGTCAGAAGATGCCTACATGAACAACATCAGGAAGATACTACATGCCCCGACACACTCATCACACTACCCTACATCAGGAACACATTGGAACTCACCACAAGACTCCTGCGACCGTTGGGCATCAGAGTGGCACACAAGCCTACGTCAACCCTACGACAACTGCTCACCCGAACTAAAGACCCACTCCCTGCCATGGACAGGAGCAATCACAGAGACTGTGAGAAACACTACATCGGACAAACAGGAAGGAAACTAACAACAAGGGTACATGAACACCAACTGGCTACAAAAAGACACGACCAATACTCACTCATCTCAATCCACATGGACAAGGAGAACCACCATTTCGACTGGGACAACACTAAAATCCTGGGACAAGCTAGGCAGAGACAGGCACGAGAATTCCTAGAAGACTGGCACTCCACGAAGCATGCTATTAATAAACACATTGAACTCAACCCCATATACATTCCACTACGAAGGAAAACCGGAAGTGAGGCAATCCAGCTCAAAGGACTCCAGAATTTAAAAACCAGGCGGGAAAGCAAACCGACGCTTCATCGGAGGCTGCACTGAGGATGTTACCCAGCATGGTAACGAAACATCTGCGATACAAGAAACCAGCTCGGCGAGCCAACCAACCTCAGAAGACCTTTACGTTCAGCAGATTAACCTTTGTGAAATTCAGAGGAACACCTCTATTTCTGAGAAGGTGGTCGAATTAGGTATGAGGATGCTCAATGTTTGGACTGTTAAGGTGGTACTGAAACATTACTCTAATTGTGTAGTAATGAGGAATCCACCAATTACATAAAAGTTGCAGTAATCAAGAGGTAGTGGCAATCAAGCAGTAAGTTACATCATCCTGGAAAGCTGTAAAAAGAAACATTTTGTCAAACTATTTCACCTTGCACTCATGATGTGAACCACCAACTTTTGGATGTATAGCAGATCGACATGACACCGAACCAGCACTGTGCTTTTCAGCAATTTTCAAGCACTATACACAGCAAATTTACCATTTATGGAAAGCATCCAAAATTGCCACCTCTTCCTCAAAGAAATCAATGGATACCTCACAAAGAAGATGATACCACAGATGATGTAATCATTTTCATATAACTTATTTTTGATTCTAACCTCTTCAGGGCATCAGGCAGTGACAATAAAAATTAGTGCAGCTAACAAATACTTTTATAGCAATTTTAGCTTTAGTAGCCCTCTCACTTCCTGTTTGAAAGGGTTTACTTTTTATATTTTTAACTTATGCTACAGCTGGACTACTACTATAGAGTTATCAATAGAACTGTGATGATTTTTCACTTTTTGTTGAGCGCTGTTCAGTTGAGGAGACAAAGCTAGAAACAGAATAGCTTATTCCTTGGAGATTCCAGCTGTTTTTAATTAATTCAGATTCACCTTGCCTAAGGAAATGCTTAGCTTAATTTTGTAGAATTTCAGCTCGTATAAATCAAGGTTTCTTGCTAAGCACATAAATAAACAACTCCAAATGTGGCAGTTTATAACTATGAACCAAGACAGGTTGTGAGCTTGCAAATTTGGTAAGTGAGGGATTTTTATTCTGAAATCTAGTCAAGTTTGTATTTAGAGATAGCAAGAACTGCAGGCACTGGAATCAGAGTCAACAGAGTATGGAGCTGGAGGAACACAGCAGGTCAGGCAGCATCAGAGGAGCAGGAGAGTTGACATTTCGAGTTGGGACTTTTCATCAGGACTAGGGGAGGAGGAAGGGAGCTGGGAAATAAATACAGGGAGGAAGGGTTGGGCTGGGGGAAGGTAGGTGGGATGGTGATAGGTGGATTAGGTAGGGATTGGTCAGTGGGAGGAGTGGGGCAGATAGGTGGGGGAGAAGATGGAAAAGTTGTGTCAGGTCAAGGAGGCAGGGATGAGAAGGAGGGTTGGGCAATGGGATGAAGCCAGGGCTGGGGAGATTTTAAAACTGGTGAATTCTATGTTAAGGCCATCGGGCTGTAGGCTCCTGAGGCGGAAAATGAGGTGTTGCTCCTCCTGTTTGCATGAGGCGTCATGGCACTGGATGTGTCCCAGGACAGACATGTCACCCAGGGAGTGGGAGAGGGTGTTGAAATGGTTAGCAACCAGAAGGTGTTGATGATTATAGTGTATGGAGCGCAGATGCTCCATGAATCATTTACCGAGTCTGCGCTTGGTGTCACTGATGTAGAGGAAGCCACATCGGATCCACCCATCGCCATTCTACCTACATTCCCCGAGTCCAACCCCTCCTCCCTCTATTTATGTCCCAGCTTCCTTCCCCTTACCCAGTCTTGATGAAGGGTCCTGATCCAAAACGTCGACTCTTCTGCTCCTCTGATGCTGCCTGACCAGCTGTGTTTATCCAGGTCTACACTGTGTTGACCAAGTTTTTATTTAACTTTGAACCGCAATTTACCAGTAAAGTTAAGTTTCTTTCATTCTTAGTCAGAGATCAACAAACTCAATGCTGGAGAGGTGGCTATAGTTTGGTAATGATGTACCTAGTTAGAAGTCGTTTATATTGCTAGCACTCCGTGACCCAGCTCTGGAATATTTAGCTCTGAAAATTTTTCAGCTTTTAAAAGATAGAGGAGTTCTGAAAGCTGAATTGTCTACCCGATGCCAAGGTGCAGGTCATCTATGCTGGACAAGAACTTAGAGTTGGAGAAGAAGGATCCAATTGTCATGGTCCATGAAGGTACTATCAACAAAGGTAGGACTATGAAAGAGGTTCTGTTGAGGGATTATGAGCAGTTTGGACCTAAATGAGAAAGCAAAATCACAAAGGTTCTCTACTTGAGACACTTGCAAATTGATGTAGGATAAGTAAGGTTAGAGAAGTAAATTTATGGCTGAAAGATTAGTGTGGGAGAAATGGATTCTGAATCAGGTGGCATTGGCAACAGTATTGGGGAAAGAGAGAGCTGTTCTATTGGGGTGGGATTCATTTGAACCATGCTGGGACCAGTGTGCCTGAAATTCATATAATTAGGTTTGAAGATGGTTTTAAATGAATTAGCAGGTGGAGATTTCAACTGAAGCAAAGCTTAAAAAATAAAAAATGGAAGAGTAGAGGTGCAAGATAGTGAAGAGGTGAATGATAATCAAAGGGTGACAGGAAGAGACAGAAAACATAAATAGAATGGTCCAGTAGAAATTAGAACCAGAATAAGTAATAATAATAAAAAGTCCAAGCTAAAAGCTCTTTATCTGAATGAACACAACATTTGTAACAGATGTGATGAATTTACAGCATGGTTAAAAATGAACGATTATCATTTGCTAACTTTTATGGAGCTGTGGTTGCAGGGTCACCAGGATGGGAACTCAATATTGAAAGGTATTTGATGTTCTGGAAAAAAAAATAGACAAGAGCTGAGGTAGCATTGTTAATAAAGGAAGGTGTCAGTGCAATGCTGAGTATGATAGAGATGTAATAGATCACAATGAGGAAACAATTGGGTAGAAATAAGGAACAGCATGGAAAAAAAGGTCATGAGTGGAAGTCTTTTGCAAATTCCAAAGAGTTAACTTTCCATAGAATAAATCGTGAACCATTTAAGGAGATATTTCATAACACTCAGCAAAAATGTACTCAAGGTAAGAAGCTTGAACTACCTGTCATTAAAAAAGGTAGTCAAGAAGGGTGTCCAACCAAAAATTAAAGTATACAAAGCGGCAAAAACTAGTGGGCCATCATAGGATTGAGTTTGTTTTAGGAACCAGTGGTAGATGGCTAAAAATCTCATAAAAAGGGTGAAAACTTATTTTGGAAATAAATTTGAAAGACATATAAAAACAAACATCAAGAGCTTCTACAAGTTTATTAAATTAAAGAGAATAGTTAACTCAGTGTGTGACCCTTGGAGGATGTGACTCGTAAATTGATAGGAGGGAACAAGAAAATAGCAGATAATTTAAGCCAATACAGAATTGGAAAACCACCAACATGACACCGTTCATGAATGTTGGAGAGAGGAGGGAGATAGGAGAGAAAGATAGCAAGAAACAATAAGCTTAACATCTTTTGATTGGAAAATGCTACAGTCCACTATTGGGGAAGAAATAGCAAAACATTTGGAAAAATTTGCCATAGTTAAAGAGAGTCAACATGGTTTTATGAAAAGGAAATCACGTTCAACAAATTTGCAAGAATTCACTGGGGATATACCAAGCAGAGTTGATAAAAGACAACCGGTAGGTGTAGTGTATTTGGGTTACCACAATACATTTGATAAATTGCTACATAAAACGTCATTGCATACGATAAAGTTCAGAATATTGTGGGTAATATTTGAGCAAGAATTGAGGATTAACACACAGAAGACACAGGGTTGACATTAATGGGTGTTTTTCAGGTTGGAAAGATTAATTGGTGGAATGCCATAAGCATGTCCTACGGCCTCAAATATTTATTACCTATATTAAAGATTTGGAGGAGGAATCAGAGTATAATGTATCCATATTTGCTGATGATACAAAAATAGGTGGAATGGCATACTGTGATGAGGATGTAAGGAATCTTAAAGGGTATATAAATAAGTTGAGTGAGTGGGCAAAATGTTGGCACATGAAATTTTTGTAGCAAATTGTGAAGTCTTGCACTTTTGAGTTAAAAGGTAGGCTACTATTTAAATGGAGAAAAATTTCAATAAAGTGCAACATAGAGGGACTTTGGTATTCTCGAATATGAAACACAAAATTTTAGCAAGAAGGCCCAGCAAGTACTTAAGCAGGCAAATAGAATTTTGGCCTTTATTGCCGACTCTCACTCCTGTTTCCTCTCTTACATTCTTTTTTGATAATACTGATCACATTTTTAATCAAATATTTATTGAAGTCCATACACAACACTAATTTCTCTAAATCCATCAATTCTCTTATTTATTTCATTAAAAAAAAGTCAACTAAAATTAGCAGCCAAAACTTTAACATCTTTAATAAATCTGCATTGGGTGTCATTTATTTAGCCATATTTATCCAAGGAATGATTTTGTCCAAATATATAGTCTCTTCCTGTTTTACCACCACAGCCGTTAGATGGATTAGCATTTAAATCTAAACTGCACCTTTGCAAAGGATAAAATCTTGTCCCAATTTTACGCAAGGACTAGCAAGCCAAATTTTTATAGCTATGGAAAATAGTGAACTGCTGCTATGGTGGGATGCTACAGTTTTATAGGCAAAGGAATTACCCCTGCTAATCCATTTATAATGACCAGACAACAATTTATTTGCAAATTAAACGGTGTTTCTTGGAAGCAAACTAGTTATGTCATTTTCTTGTAATTTGAGAAAGATGATTAATAAAGAGTAATAGCATTTATTATTCACTTTTTCCAATTTTGTACTGAAGTATGTTTATATTTGTTGAATTTTAAAGTATTCTTTTTGGACATTATTTTACTGTGTCTAATTTCTAAAGGCTTGTTAAAAGGTTAAGATCCAGCTGGAACATTCTTACAGTGGACTCTAAAACTGACAATAATCAAATGTACAGATTTTCCATCTAACTTCTGGAAAAAAAAACTTACCGGGTACAACACCTGGCTGAGCTCCAGGTACAGCTCCTGGACCAACTGCAATATCAGACAAAGAGTTACATTCATTAGTGTCTTCAGTAAAATGGCAGAAACATCATTGAATAGTTGGCAGCAGTGTATTGCATGGTACTGTTTGCAATTCCAGGCTTAAATACTAAAATGAGCCAATCTTGGCTGTATTTCATTGCCATCACAATCAGAGGGGTGGTGGGTGAGAAGAAGTTGTAATAAATTGGGAATTCTTAAACAACATCAGGATAGCATTAAACACAGAGTGAACAGATGTGAGGTTGGCATCATTGGCTGGGCAAGCATTTATTACTCATCCCTAGTTACCTTTTAAGGTGGTGGTGAATTGCCTTCTTGAACCACTGCAGTGAATTTGTTGTCATATGCTGTCATAGGGAGGGACTTCAGGATTTTGACTGACATAAAAGGAATTGTGATATATTATCAAGTCAGAATGGTGAGTGGCTTAGAGGGGAACTTACAAGTAATGATGTTCCAATGTATCTGTTATCCTTGTTTTCTAGATGGTAGTCATGAGTTTGGAAAGTGTTATCCAAGGAGCTTTTGTGAATTTTGACCTTTATAGTTCTGAGAATAGCTCTTCTAACAATTGCTTGTCAGCATTAAAATGGAAACAACACTCATAGCATCACAGAATTGTTATAGTAAAGAAATAAGCCTTTTGACCTATCGTGACTGGACTGGTCCTTTGAAAGAACAGTTCACTTAGTGCTACTCAACTGCATTTTCCCTTTTCCTCCACATTTTTCTTTTCCAGATAAGAATCAGTTTCCTTTAGAAAGCTTCAACTGTGTCTGCCTTTACCACACTCTCACATTTCATGTCTCCCTTTACTTCTTTTGCCAATTACCTTAAACCTGTGTCCTTATGTTTTTGATTCTTTCACCAATAGGAACCATTTTTCCTAACTACTTTGTGCAGACCCATGATTTTGTGTACATTTGCCAAATCTCCTCTCCCTCTGTTCTGTGTGATTTTCTTATGTGATTTTCCATTATTGTAGTGAAGGCTTGCAGCAGGAAAGTTCAGATCAAAGTCAGCAAAGTCCATAATAATGCCCCTTAAAGGAGAAGTCACTATACAGCAGTGAAATCAAGCTCTGGGAATATGTAATGTGAGAGGAAATTTTTTACATGAGCAAGTTTGAAGTTTCACGATTTAATATTTTTAAATCTATTAGCTTAATTAATCAATGACATTCCAATGTTTTAAAAAGAAAGAGTTCATGAAAGAAAATATTCACAAGGTATTGATATATCCTTCTTAGGAGAGACTAAAATCAAAATTTTTGGAGCACAGAGAAACTGGTAGAAAGTCACTGGATCTACTTTAGGTACAGTGCAGCACTTTCTGTTTTTTCAGATACTGAACCATCGTTAAACAAGAAAAATCTTCACCCATCTTGTAAAAAGCTGCACGAGCACGGAGGAACGTAACGGAAGGTTCTAGGAGATCAGCTATTTTAAAGCACAGAGAAAATATAATTACTGAGTAATGTAGATAATTCAAAATCAGTGTTGTTTACACTTAAGCAAGAAGGCATGTGTATAATTGAATCTAATTCACAGAATAGAATAACCAAACAGTGATGAAGGTCAGCAAAGATACATTAAAGCAGAGTCATTTACGGGATTGGGAAAGCTAAAAATAGCATGCCACATTGATTTCATTTCTGAATTTTGTGCAATGTACTTAAATGCACCAAGAAACAGCCCACACTCTTTACTTCCAAAGGGCAAGAGGTGATCGACTCAAATGGCCAGACAAGATATATTTCACCCATAAAAAGAGCCATCAAGTTGGTGATTCGGGATTATATCAGTTGTAAGACCAAATGTGCATATAAAAATGTGTATTGATTTCACTCGACTCAATAAAACTATGAAAAGTCAATCCAATGGTAGTAGTAAATGGAAGTTTATCAAAGTTAGGGAAGAGTTTAATAATCTTTAAATTAGATAGTAACAGCACATTTTAGTACATACTGCTAGAAGAGCAGTCCAAGTTTTTCACAACTTTCAACAGGTTACCCTTTGGAACAATATAAGCACTAGAGATCTTTAAAAGAACAAATGTCAAATATTTTAAGAGGCCTTACGCTGAAAAATGACTCTACTCAGGCTGAGAATGGCAAGAGAATGAAAGCAATGCTGTGAAGTCTACAATGGGCAACAATGACACTCAACAGTAAGCACAAGTTTTGACAACCGACAATCAAGATTCTTGGTCGCATAGTGAGTGCACCAGTAACACAAGTTTATCCATCGAAGACTAGAATCATAAAAGAATTTTCAGCTCCAACAACCATTATAAAGGTTAATGGAAATGGTCAATCATGTGGCAAAGTTTTGAAAAAAAAATGCAACATAGCTCTAAGAGCCACTGCACCAGTTGCTACATCATGATGATGAATAGATTTTGGGAAGAAACACATCAGAAATTATCAAAACATCAATGGTTGGGTGCTGTCATCAGAAGTTTTAGCACGTTATGATTTAGAATTATCTGAAATAATAGTAGCAGACACATCCTGTACAGGATTGGGGCAATACTATTTCAGGTACATAAGAGATGAAAATGCAGACCTGTCTACAATATCTCCTATCATTACCAGATACAGAGGAAAATACACATTCTTTGAGAAGGAAACTTCAGCAGCTATGTGCATGCAAGAAATCTACTGACTACGTCTTGGTCACAGAAGTAGATCTCAGTCACACTGTTGTATTCCAAAGAAGTTGAAGGGATACCATCAAAACTTTAAATTAAGTTTCAATTAAGTTTGATGAGATTTATTACTCTTATGTTATACATTCAAGGGTAATGATGCAACATAGCAGATGCATCACCATATGTCAAAGCGAAAAATCCAGAAAAATGTGACAGTGAAGTTGTAGAAAATGTTGAGGAGTTTACTGGAAACTACAAAACGATTCACTGAAATCAGAGACACAAAACTAAAATAAAGAATGTAAGACTTTACAAGAATTTTATGACAGAAAGCCAACATATATCCCACATACTCCTACTTTGAGACCATATTTTTGAGCAGAGAGCACATCTGACAGTAATTGAGGTTTTGATGATAGATTAGTAATCATAAAATCATTTGAAGTGTGAAATTTTAATGCGTACATTGAGGTAATTTAGGCACAACAAGTACAGAGCCAGAGTACGATATTTGGTTTGTTGGCAGGTCTCAAAGTCAGTGGAAGAAATGATATCCAAATGTATCACATGTATAATAGGTATCAAAGGACCACTGATGCCATCGCCTATTCTGACAAAGCCATGGAAACACCTGGAATTGATGCACACACAAAAGAGGAAAGAGGCTTATAATAGTAGTAGATTACTACTTGAGGTAGATAAAAGTGAAACAATAATACGCTCACACAGCAGAGCAGTGAAAAAGTCGTTGAAAGAAATTTTTGCAGTCCATGGGATTCCTGATAGTGTGATGGCAGGCAAAAGCCCACAGTTTGGGAGAATAAAGTTTCAAGAGTTTATGGGTTCATTTGGGTTTGTTCATATAAGCGCATTAAGGTTTCTTCAGGCTAAGTGAGAAGCTCTGAGAGATGTCAGAAGTATAAAGGTATTACTGATAAGGAATGAAGATGTTCAACTAATATGGAATTGAATTGAATTAGCTTTATTGTCACACGTACTCAAATGAGTACAGTGAAAAGCTTACAAGTTGCCACTTATGGCACTATCTTTGATACAAGTTACCTAGGTACAGATTCTTCAGTACAAGCTCTTAGGAAAAAAAGTTTAGAAAAATAGGAAAAAAAGTCCAGCATTTCAGATTGTAGGAATAAATTTGAAAATACAGAAAAATAAGTTCAGAACAACAGTCCTTCCAACCCATTCTACACTGGTACCTGGTTGCCTGTCCTCACCAGGCCTTGACTCCAGATCATGCTGTGCTTCACCTCAAGGCTGGGAGACTGCTCTGGAATTGCCTTGTGGCCAGATGTCCATGCTGAGGCCACGCTGGGCTGAGAGACCACCACACTGGGCTGGGGCACCACCACACCAGGCTGAGAGGTCACAACACTGCGCAAAGAGACTGCAATGTCGGGCCGAGAGACTGCCATGCCACTTAATACTTCCCAAGTTTCTTGTGGATTAACGCAATTTCTGTCTCTCTCTCTGCCTGTCTCTGGGTCTTCGAAGCTGCTTTCTGTCTTCCTCTCTCTCTGGATGGTCAGCTGGTCTCTTACCACGCTGGTCTCCTCAGAAAGCCTCCAGAAGATTCAACAGTCCCAAGTTAAATATCTTAACCATTGTGGAGAGGCGATGGCCTAGTGGTATTGTCACTGGACTGTTAATCTAGAGGCCCAGATAGTGTCCTGGGGACCCAGGTCCAAATCCTGCCACAGCAGATGGTGGAATTTGAATTCAATAAAATGTCTGGAATTAAGAATCTAATGATGACCGTGACTCTATTGTCGATTGTTGTAAAAACCCATCTGGCTCACTAATGTCCTTTAAGGAAGGAAACGGCCATTCTTACCTGGTCTGGCCTACATGTGCATCTGGACCCACAGCAATGTGGTCCACTCTTAACGGTCCTCTGGGTAATTAGGGATGGGCAATAAATGCTGCTTAGCCTTATCCGGTGAATGAATAAAAAATAGATTGACTCCGTGCATGTTACATGGAAAGAAGACTGTGAACATAGATTCCTACTTATCCACATATATTAATATCACAGGTCGAAGGTACTAACGTAGAGACAGAATAGGAAATAGAGGAAACTTACCAAAGCAGATAAAACACTATGAAATTGATCACAGTGCAAGAATATCATCAGATCTTCAACAATAAGGTCAGGTTTGGATCAGAAATCAACTGAAATTTGGAGAAACAGTGGAGAGATCATCACACCTGAGATCTTGTATTTTTCAGATGGAACAGGACATGTTGCAAAAAGCATGCAGAACTTCGATTGCAATTAAGCAACACAGTAAAAACCAGAGACCCTAGGGGTCAAACCCCAA